GCTGACGGATTCATGGCTCTTTTCCTTGGGTGTAACAACCCTCCAAGTGATATTGGCTCTTTTCCTCTGTTTTCCTTTTTTYCCCCCATTTTTTTCATGTTCAAACAGAAAAACAAAACAATTCCAGGAGGCTTCACTTTTGGGAAGAGTTGTGGGAAGAGACATGGATTTTAGGAATTTCTCAGGTTTTTTTCAGGATGTGGGTAGGATCCTTTGGAGCAGAGAGAATCAGGTTCAAATGTATCCCTGGAAAATCCCCTTTTCCACCAAAATTCAGGGCAAATCCACCCTTCCCCTGGAAATCCAGGTCCTGATCCCTCCTCGGGACGGACACGGCAGGGAAAGATCAGAGCTTGGGATAATCCTCCGTGGAGTTGGGGCTGGAATTCTTCCCAGTGGGTTTTTTAACTCGTAAACCAGAGGAAAACGGTGACTCAGTTTGGAAAAGCCTGGCCCAGGAAGGGCGGGAGGAGAGGAGCAGAGATGAGGGAATCCAGGCTGGGGATCTGCAGGGATGGAGCCGGGATGGAGCCGGGATGGAGTTGGGGATGGAGCCCGGATGGAGCTGGGGATGGAGTCAGGGATGGAGCCGGGGATGGAGCAGGGGATGGAGCTGGGATGGAGCTGGGATGGAGCTGGGATGGAGCTGGGATGGAGCTGGGATGGAGCTGGAATGGAGTCAGGGATGGAGCTGGGGATGGAGCCGGGGATGGAGTCAGGGATGGAGCTGGGATGGAGCCAGGGATGGAGCCAGGATGGAGCTGGGGATGGAGCTGAGATGGAGCTGGGGATAGAACTGGGATGGAGCCGGGATGGAGCTGGGGATGGAGCTGAGATGGAGCTGGGGATGGAACTGGGGATCTGCAGGGATGGAGCAGGGATGGAGCTGGGATGGAGTCAGGCATGGAGCTGGGACTGAGCAGGGATGGAGCTGGGGATGGAGCAGGGATGGAGTCAGGGATGGAGCCGGGGATGGAGCTGGGGATGGAGCTGGGGATGGAGCTGGGGTTGGAGCAGGGATGGAGCTGGGGATGGAGCCGGGGATGGAGCTGGGGTTGGAGCGGGGATGGAGCTGGGGATGGAGCCGGGGATGGAGCTGGGATGGAGCTGGGATGGAGCTGGGGATGGAGATGGGGATGGTGTCATGGATGGAGCCGAGGACGGAGCCGGGATGGAGTCAGGGATAGAGCAGGGGATGGAGTCAGGGATGGAGCTGGGGATGGAGCCGGGGATGGAGCCGGGGATGGAGCTGGGGATGGAACTGGGATGGAGCTGGGGATGGAGCGGGGATGGAGCTGGGATGGAGCTGAGGATGGAGATGGGGATGGTGTCATGGATGGAGCCGGGGATGGAGTCAGGGATAGAGCAGGGGATGGAGCTGGGGATGGAACTGGGATGGAGCTGGGGATGGAGCGGGGATGGAGCCGGGATGGAGCCAGGGAAGGAGATGGGATGGAGCTGGGGATGGAGCCGCGGATGGAGCCGGGGATGGAGCTGGGGATGGAGCAGGGATGGAGCCAGGAATGGACCGGGATGGAG